TTTCCAGCATCCCCTCGTTCTGTGTTTTCTTTATTATTTCTATTTCAGCTTTCAATCCTTCATCTGTTTGAGTTGTTTCCTTTATTTGTTTGGTTGTTTTTTCTTGGTGCTCCTTAGATTCTTTGAGAGATTTGTTTATTTCTTGAATTTTTCCCCCATCTCATGGATTTTTTGTTTGTTTTTCTTCTATTTCTTTAAGGGATTTCCTCCTTTCTTCTTTGAGGGTCTCTATCATCTTTATAAAATAATTTTTAAGGTCTGTCTCCTCTGCTTCATCTATGTAGTGCTTTTCATTTCTTGCTGGCATTGGGTCTCTAGATTCTGGTGGAGTCATGTTGGTCTTTCTATTGCTGAGTGAGCTCTTATTCTGTCTTCTTCCCATCTCTTCTTCCAGTGCATGCAGGTGGGGTCTTTATGTCTCCACTAGTCTCCTTCTTTCCTAAGGCTGAAGCTTGGGACCCTGAAGCTGAAGCTGGGGTTGCCAGAAGTTGGGGTCTGGAAGGACTGATGTCTTTCCTGTGTAGGCGGGTCCTCTGGATGCCAGGAGCTGAAGCTGGTGTTGCTAGAGGTTGGGGCCTGGAAGAGCTTATGCCTTTCCTGTGTGGGCTGGTCCTCTGGATGCCAGGAATGGCGGGGGTGTTGAATGCTTTCAAAGTCATTTTTAGCATCTAGTGAGATGACCTTGTGTTATTTCTCAGTTTGTTTATATGGTGGATTACATTGATGTATGTTGAACCATCCTTGGATCCCTGGAATGAAATCTACTTGATCATGGTGGATGTTTTTCTGATGTGTTCTTGGGTCCAATTTGCCAGTATTTTATTGAATATTTTTGCCGCAATATTCATGAATGGAATTGGTCTGACGTTCTCTTTCTTTGTGTGGCTTGGGTATCAAGGTTATTCAAGCCTCGCAGAAAGAGGTTGGCAAAGACCCTTCTGCTTCTATTGCATGGAATACTTTGCGCAGAATTAGTTTAAGCTGATCTTTGAATTTCTGGTAGAATTCTGCACCGAGGCCATCTGGACCTGGGTTTTTTTTCTTGTTGGGAGACTTTTACTATTTCTTTAGTGGTTATAGGTCTATTTAAATTGCTCATCTGTTCTTGATTTGATTTTGACATGTGATATCTTTCCAGAGAATTGTCCATTTCCTTAAATTTTTTGAATTTTGTGGAGTACAGGATTTCAAGATGACAAGATGATCCTCTGCATTTCCTCAGTGTTTGTTTTTATGTCCCCCTTTTAATTTCTGATTTTGTTAATTTGCATGTTCACATTCTGCCATTTGGTGAGTTTGGATAAAGTTTGGAAAATATTGTTGATTTTCTTAAAGAACCAACTCTTCATTATATCAATACTTTGTATTGTTTTCCTAGTTTTTACTTTATTGAGTTCAGCCCTCAATTTGATTATTTCCTGGCGTCTACTCCTCCTGGGCAAGTTTGTGTCTTTGTGTTTTAGAGCTTTCAGTTGTGCTCTAATTCTCTAGTGTTACTATCCTCCAGTTTATTCATCTGGGCACTTAGTGCTATGAACTTTCCTCTTAGCAGTTGTTTCAAAGTGTCCCATAATTTTGGGTATGTTGTGTCTTCATTGTCATTGAATTCTAGGAAGTATTTAATTTCTTTTTGACCCAGGAGTGGTGTAATTGTGCATTTTTCAATTTCCATGTGTTTGTAGGGTTTCTGCAATTTATGTTGGTTGAATTCTAACTTTAGGGCTTGGTGGTCTGATAAAATACATGGAGTTATTACAGTTTTTTTGTACTTTTTGAGGTTTGCTATGTTGCCAAGTATGTGGTCTATTTTTGAGAAGGTTACATGTGGCACTGAGAAGAATGTATATTCTTTTGTGTTTAGCTGGAATGTTCCATAGATGTCTGTCAAAGCCAATTGGGTCTTAATTTCTATTTGTTCTTTTGTTTGTTTGATAAGTTTCTGTCTGGCATTCCTGTCTAGTGGTGAGAGTGGGGTGTTGAAGTCTCCTATTACAAGTGTGTGGGGTTTTATGTGTGGTTTGAATTTTAGTAATGTTTCTTTTATGAATGTGGATGCCTTTGTATTTGGGGCATCTTTGTGTTTGGGCATAGATGTTCAGAATTGAGACTTCATCTTGGTGGATTTCTCCTGTGATGAATATGAAATAACCTCTGTCATCTCTTTCAATTGATTTCAGTTAAAGTCTAGTTTGTTAGCTATTAAGATTGCTACCCCTGGTTTTTTCTTGGGTCCATTTGATTGGAAAATCCTTTCCCAACCCTTAACTCTGAGGTAATATGTGTCTTTGAAGCTGAGGTGTATTTCTTGTATGCAGCAGAAGGATGGAGTCTGTTCTAATCCATTCTGTTTGTCTGTGCTTTTTTATGGGTGAGTTAAGTCCTTTAATATTGAGGATATTAATGGCCTTTGATTGCTCAATCTTGTTTGTTTTGGATTGGTTGTTTTTGTTGGAATTGTATGTGGATTTCCACTCCTTTTCTCTTTTGGTTGTTGTTAAAGTGGGATTATCTTTTGCCTATGTTTTTCTGGTTTTAGTTAACTTCCTTGGATTGGAGATTTCATTTCAGAACTTTCTGTAGGGCTGGGTAAGTGGATATGCATTGTTTAAATCTAGTTTTGTCATGGAATATATTGTTTTCTCCATCTGTATTGATTGAAAGCTTTGCTGAGTATAGTCGTCTGGGCTGGCATCCATGGTCACATAGTGTTGATAGAATATCTGTCCAGGCCCTTCTGGCTTTCAGAGTTTCCATGGAGAAGTCAGGTGTAATTTTGATAGGTTTGGCTTTATATGCTATTTGACCTTTTCCCTTTGCTGCTCGTAATATTCTTTCTTTATTCTGTATGCTTTGGGTCTTGATTATTATGTGGTGCGGGGACCTTTTTTGTGGTCCACCCTATTTTGTGTTCTGTTAGCTTCTTGTACCTCCACTGGCATGTTTTTCTTTAGGTTGGGAAAATTTTCTTCTATAATTTTGTTGCATATGTTTTCCGCCCCTGTGAGATGGGTTTCTTCACCTTCTTCTATATCTATTATTCTTAGGTTTGATCTTTTCATGGTGTCTCATATTTCTTGGATATTTTGTGTTAGGAATTTGTTGGACTTAAGATTTTCTTTTGTCAATGAATCTATTTCTCCTAGTCTTTCTTCAACACCAGAGATTCTCTCTTCCACCTCTAGTATTCTGTTGGTCATGCTTGCATCTGTCATACCAGACTGTCTCCCCAGTTTTTATGTTCCCAGCATTCCTTCAAACTGTGTTTTTTAACTGCCTCCATGTCAGCTTTCAACCTTGCACTATTTGAATTGTTTCTTGTAAATTTTGCTTTGAGTTTTCCTCCCTTTCTTGGATTTTTGGTTTGTTTTGTCTTCTATTTCTTTAAGGTATTTTCTCATATCCTTTTTGAGGGCCTCTATCATTTTCATTAAGTTGTTTTTAAGATCATTCCCTTCTACTTCCTCTGCATTGGGGTGTTCAGGTCTTGCTGGTATAGAATCTCTAGACTCTGGTGGTGACATATTTGTTTTTCTGTTGCTGAGTGTGTTCCTCTTTTGGTTTTTCGAGACAGGGTTTGTCTGTGTTGTTTTTGAGGCTGTCCTGGAGCTCACTCTGTAGACCAGGCTGGCCTCAAACTCACAGAGGTCCACCTGCTTCTGCCTCCCGAGTGCTGGGATTAAAGGCGTGTGCCACCAACACCCGTCTTCTGTTGCTGAATGTGTTCTTATATTGTCTCTTTCCCATCACTTCTTCCAGTGGGTGTAGAAAGATCTTCTTCCTCTCCCGGTTGGTAGGTGACCAGTGTTCCCTTTTGGTGGGTGCAAGCAAATCCAATACTCTCTGTCCTCTGCTGTCTGTCCTCTGCCCTGAGTGTGGGTGGGAGTAAAGTAGACTGGCTCTATATGCAGTGTCCTGATCACTTGGAAGTCTGGTGGCAAGCCAACCTGGCTGTGGTACCCAGGCCAGGAGATGTGACATAGGGTATGTGGGAGGAACTTGGGTCTAAGATAGGGATCTGGATCTCACCTCTGTCCTTTGCCCTGAGTGGGGGTGGGAGTAGCAACTTATTACATATTAATAGAGTGTAAGCAAGCAAGGTATTTTCCCAGCCAGTTCTTTTACTAATATGCTGCATTTTTCAGTTAAAAAGAAAGGATTAATTACTTCCTTTCTTATATCAAAAGATAATCTTAGAAAATTTAAGGAATCACAAATCTAAACTCATATATAGAAAATACTCATCTTTATTTTAGTTCCTCATAATACATACCCATGCACCCTGTTCATCGACAAATTTTTATATCAGGAAGTTGATGGCATAATTCATAGCATATTTGATAATCAACCCATCCTAACAAAAAAGTCACATTAGCTATAATAAATTGGCTGCTTATTTCTTGTTCCTTCACATCAATGATTCCCGCAACAGCTATGTACTTTTCTAAACTTTGGACTATTTCTCCATGTTTTTCACCTCAAAACTATTAACAATAACATTTTAACATTAACTTAAGTCATATTTATAACTTACTTTTAGCTATGATGCACAAGGAAAGCCATGAACACATCTCTCAACATTAAGATTAAAGAAAACAACCATTAGCTAACTTAGCTTCTGGTTTGCAATTGTTTTCTTAACAATTAACTTAAGACATAGTCTATATTTCTCCTCAAGAGAAAAGAACTGCCTGATAATTCCTTGTTCTTATTTTCTATCTTCTGTAGCCCCTGCTGTATCACAGGTAGGGGTAAAACCATATGTTGATTTTATCTACATTAATATTTCCATTAAGCTTTGCTTCCTGTGGTCCATTGTCCTGAAATTTTATTGCCATCTGATGTTCCTGTGACATGGCCATCAGCAAAACATCACATTGAATACTGTAAATGCTGGATTGATTTTTTCATAGTGAAACTATCTGACAATTGCAGAAAAGTAAAGACTATCAGGTAGAAATCACTTTCATTTTTTGTAAACAACTCTTTCTCCCTTCACTCAGTGGCATATGGATCATGGTTTGAGCACACCCGTGCCTGGCTGTCCATGCGAGAAAGGGAAAACTTCCTCCTGCTGAAATATGAAGACATGAAAAAGGTAACTCCCATTCTTAAAGCAACCATGCATCCTCTCACCTACTCAACCCACACAGCATACCACATTCCTCCATATCCCCATTCCACTTACTTTGTTAGGATTAGGCTCAAGAAGAATTCTTAAAAGTGAGATGATGCCCTATATCCTTTTATATCCTGAATGTGGCATTTCCTATCCAGCCTACATGTCCATCACCCTCATCTTATATCCTACTCAACCCTGAGTCAGGGTGGGATAGTTCACACTCTCACTACAGATTTTTTAAAAATTCTGTGTATGCAACACATTCCATACATGTGATAGCCCCAGTGGTGTGTGACAAATGGGTAAAGCAGGGTTGTTCCACACTTGTGTCCATATGTATGCTTTCACACTTTGACCACAAGTAGAAGCACAAAGTCATGAAATCCATCTCTGAATTCTGGGAAAGTACAAATGCTGGATATAAAAGGAATCTTTTTCATTGAGAGAAGCCTTTCCACCAGCCTGGTTCTAGAGCCACATCAGTCCCAAATAAACACACAGGAGGCTATATTAATTATGAAGCTGTTGTCCTTGCTTGTTTCTTACTGGCTACCTCTGACTTAAGTAATTACCCCATAATTGTTAATCTAAGTATTTCTCTTACCAGAGAATGGTTCCAGGCTTCCTACCCCCATCTTGACTACCCCCATTACATCTTGACTGTACTGTGTTTCTCCTTCCCAGAGTCCTCCTGGACTCCTAGTCCCTCCTATCTAGATTCCTATTGGCTCAACAGTACTTTATTGACAAATGTACAGGACTTCCCCCATCAGCTGGAGTCACATGGACAGTACTGAGTGAGTCTCAAATCTGACCAGGTGTGCAACTAATCAGGGAAGATGGTGTCCTGTGCTGTTCACTACAGAGGGCTCTGCATGGTAGGCTAGAATACACTGGAGTTTCAAAAGTTTTATCAAAGAATATAAAAAAATGTTTCATTATCACATAATGGCACATGTCTACATAGGTTGATAGGCTATACTCTTATCTGATCATGGTGAGTTTCATTTAACTGAAATTTCTCACAGAATGTTAGAAATATGGTTAAATACTGAGTGTATGACTCAAATGTCTCTTACTTTAAAAATTAAAAATAATCTTGGCAGGGTGCTGTATGACTGAGAGATAGAGACAGATTCAGGAGTTCTATGTCATGCTTGTTTGTGTGGTGGTCTTGAGGTCAACCTTTGATATGGACATTATTTCAAAAGACAATTAAGAAAAAGAATTTTTAAGTTCAACTGTGTATTTCATTTTCATTTAGTTAAAAAATTTTCCTCTAATGATGGAAATGTAATGACAACAAACAAAAAGAACAAAAATATTATTATTTGATCAGCAGCTCAAATTTAAGTAGCTTGGAAGTTTTGGGTGAAAGGTAACCATCATTTACATATCATCGATAAAGGTATCAATTTTGCTTCTAAATGCAAAAGAAAAAATGCACTAAGCATACAAACTGACAGAGAAGCACTAGCTCTTTGTTATAAGTGTTTTAAAAATTTATCTATGGAGGATAAGAAAAAGTCTTACAGCTATTGCTTACCTTATAAAAGTAGACTATGGTGATGATGGTTACTGATAACTGTGCATTCTTTGTGTTTTTCTTTTTTCCTATTACATTTTTACTATTTAAAACAATTTTTAAATGTAAACTTTTATGCTCATATTATTTCCCTTCCATGATTTCTTCTAAATCTTATCCAATTCCTTACCCACCCACCTTACATTCTTTCTCAAATAACAATCTAAAACCCAATAAAGCAACCCTGTCCCCCCAAATAAAACTCTGAAACAGAAAAAGTTAAGACACTGAACTGTAACCAAATAAAAGGGCATAAAACCGTGGAGTCTATTATATTTTGGTAAACTAACACTGACCATGAAGACTTCCCTGGAATGGTTGATATATCCAGTGTCACTACATTGGAGAAAACTGAGTTTTCCTCTCCCAGTAGGTATAAATGACAGTTCAGTTGTTAACCTTTACCACAGTGGTTATATTTCCATCCATTCATTTTAAAAATTATAAAAAAATAAGATGTAATATGATGGAACAATATTGTCACCTCAACATTGGACAAGACAAAAGTGCAGAAATAAAAGAGTGAAATAAAAGGCACAAGTAGGAAACCACATGTTCACACATTCAAGAAGCCGAGAAAACACTAAGCTGGAAACCTAATTTCTAAACAGAGAAGTGGTACAGGCTGGTGTCACTCTGTGCATATTGCTCCAGTTTGTGGGTTCATACTAGCTTTTTTCATGTTGATGTGGAGGACCTTGTTTCTTTGGTGTCCTTCCTCCTCTCTCACTCTTGTCTTCTTCTTCTTCTTCTTCTTCTTCTTCTTCTTCTTCTTCTTCTTCTTCTTCTTCTTCTTCTTCTTCTTCTTCTTTCATAGGGTTCTCTGTGTTCCAAAGGGAGGGATTTGGTAGAGACACACCGTTTAGGACTGATTGTTCAAAAGTATCTCACTCTGTGTATTGTCTGGATGTGGGTCTCTACAGTTTTTCCCTACTGCTTTGGGAGAAAGCTCTGATGATGGGTGAATAAGCACTAATCTGAGCTTAGCAGAATATCATTAGGAGTCATGTTGTCACTAATTATTTTATGCCAATATTATTTGGCTTCAATTGAGGGTCCGAGTCTATCTAGTCTTGCTTGCACTACACCATTGTAGAGCAAAGGATTTGTGGCTGGTTTAATGTTTACATTTGATAGTGTGCAGAGCACCTTCCTATAACAAAGAGGTTCAAAATATGGGTGAAAGTTGTATTCAGTCACAAGCCCATCATCTCCATGTTGAATGAATTATGCAGGTGTTGTATTCAGCAGTGGGGCCTTGCTGTCAGTTTTTCTAGGATAACCTGTCATCTTAGCAGTAGCTTATGTTATTTAGAGCTTCCCATGGGATACATTTGGCCAACAACTCATTGAGATGTACCCAGTCTCAGTACTGGAAATATGGCCATTTGGGACACCATCTCCCCATCAAATTATATTATTAAATTGACTTCATATGTGTGCATGTGTGTATACATCTATATTTATGACTTTTCTAATATTTTGGGTTTTATGTACATTCCTTCAAATATACATTAATTTTGACCATCTCTTTCTGTATTCACTCCCTAAATCTCTCTTATTTTCCCCTCCTCATATGATCCTCCCATTTCAGCCCTTGTCAATACTTCAATAACTTTTCCTCGGATTTAGGTTTTTAGTTACTATGAGCTGAGGGGACTTTCTTTCCCTACTCAGTCTATTTGGTGTTTTGTATGCTACTTTTACCGTGATAGGCATCTCCTTCTTTAGGTTAGAATATTCTTCTTCTTAGATATTGTTGAAAATATCTTCTGTGCCATAAACATTTGTTTTACTTCTTTCTCTATTCCTTTTATTAAATTTGGGATTTTCATAGTGTCCCAGAAATCTTGAATATTTTTGAGAGGAATTTTTTGGATTTCACATACTATTTGATAAATGTATATATTTTTTCTATGTTTCCTTAAATGCTTGAGATTCTCTTGTTGATCACTTAAATTCAGTTCATAAGGTGAGATCTGTGGTTACTTTTCTAGTTCCTAATTTTTTCCTTTGCAGATTTCCTTCAGTTTGCATTTTCTTGATTAATTCTATTTCTACTTTCTGGTCTTAAATTGTTTTAGTAATGACTTTGCATTGTGCTTTTATGGATTTATCTATGGGTTTTGTCCATTTCCTCTTTAAGGACCTCTGATAGCTCCATACAGCCTACATTAAGGTTCTTTTCTTGTTTGCTACCTATACTGGGATTCTTGGTGTCTACTGTAGTAGGGTTTCTGGGCTCTGTTTAAGACATCCTGTCCTGGATATTATTGATTCTATTTTGGGGAAGGGTGGCATGTAGTCATCTGTGATCAGGAAAATTGTAATTCTAGTTGCTCACATTGTAATTCTAGTCCTGTCTTTGTTGGATTACTGCTTTCTTCCTTATTTTCTGTTTCCTGTGTGTTGCTTTGGGGAGTATTGTGGCTGTGTGTTGCCTGTTAGCAAATTCTTCTGAGATCATGATAAGTGAGGCCACTGGCATTTCAGGTAAAATGTTATTTTGGATATAGAAAGATGACACTAATGAACGGAGATGCAATATGGAAGCATAATTAGGTCCACAAGAGGGAGGGATTCAGAATTTCCCTTAGGATTTGCTTAGTGATTAACATGTGAATGGGACCACAACTGAGGACATGCCACAGCAGGTTTGATATAAAGCTGTTGATGATATTTAGGACTGGAATTGGAAGAATGCAGGGAGAGCTGAAGATGTGCAGTTAGCCTAACTGCTTTCCTATTTTGAATGGCCTGTGGGTTCTTAGGGGGTGTCTTCTGTAATTCAGGTCCAGGACAGAGCAATGAGTAGGGAAAAGAAACTTTAGACAGAGAATTTTGGAGGAGGGAGGCTGTACCAGATGTTCTATTCAGAACTGTGAATGAGACTAGAAGACTGGTTTGGGTGAGCAAATTGAGAGGTGAAGATCTGCATTTAGTATACCTTATTCTGTGCCCACTTGTATCTATGAGTTCTCAAGGAAGGCTTTCTCATTTCATGGTGCCATTTCATTCTTCATGTCCCTTTCCCCATCATCCATTCATAGTGCCCATCTTTGAATCTGTTCTCTCAAATGTTTCTTTTTCTTAACCCCATTTTTGTTTTTTTCTTCATTTAGGACCCAAGAAGAACAATAGAGAAGATCTGTGACTTCCTAGAAAAGAAATTAGAGCCAGATGAGCTGGATATGGTCCTCAAGTACAGCTCCTTCCAAGCCATGAAAGAAAATAACATGACCAACTTTAGTATCATCAATTCAGATGTCATTCCTAGTGGTTTAAAACTCATGAGAAAAGGTAAATAAATTTTCTACCTTCAAAATATGTCAGAACATCTGTGGGGCTTGTTGTTCCAAGAAGAGTTTAAGAAAGAGTTGGGAATGTTTCATAATTCATTGTATTTCAAATCAGAGTTTCTGAAAGGCCTTATATAGGAGGATGTTTTCCATGGGGATCTTGTGGGCTTCAAGAACTCTGAAAATATTGATTTTTTTTCTTGGAGAGAACTTAAGGAATGCAGAGGGTCGTGTCCAATATGTTCAATAGCAAACAAAATTGTAGACCTATTGCAATGAGGCTTTGTAAGGTTCTCTGTATCTTGACCTCGACTGAAAAGAAAATGTTTAATGCGTGAGACCACAGAAAGTACTTCTAATAGCAGCTGAAAAAGATGATGAACATGTCAGAGATTGCTGACCCACACTATAAAGACTAAGTGAAATTTTGACCAATGTTTTAATCTGGTGGTATTTGGTAACCTAAATTTGGATTGCTTCATTCTCAGAGCTATTCTCCTTTTTTTCTGAATTGTCTCACCTGGAATGGTCATATCCATCTTATCTATGTCTGTGCTGGTTGAAGTTTGTCGTTGTGGTTTCATAGCTGCAATATCGAGGAAGTGTGTTGCCAGAATGAATCACACCGGGAGTCTCACCTGCATGTAATTAGCAAACAAATGTTGGTATAGGACTCAGGGTGGAAGAAGAAATGTATCAGATGTCATGTCTTTTTGGATGAGTAAAAAAGTGGGGTGTAGAGGCAGGATGTGGAGAGCCATGGGTTTATTTTCTTCTCTCAATCATTTACATGTTTCAGGCTTAACCTTTACTCCTTCTCCACTATAGAGTGTAAGGATCACGTCCTAGTATTTAAAGACATGAAGAGTGTAAACTGAAATAAATAAGTTAAAATTGTCAGTAGGTTATTTTTAATACATTACTCCTGATATCCTCCCAAGAGGAAGTTTGGACTCAGATTAGAGCACACATACATGTCACTTCAAGAATATGGTCATCTGTGCACTAAGGACTGAGGTCTTTGGAAGAATCCACTGCTGGTGACAGATAACCTCCTGTGTTCCAGACTCTGTGGAGACAGAGTTTTCTAAACTAGAACTGATGTTCTCACTTTGAAGAGGCAGTTCCCCATTATTGGATTTTCTGTAATGTACCAGAAACTGACAGAAGTAAAAAAGTATGTATTCATAAAAGCTGCAATGAAATGCCAAAAGGAATAAAGTGACTTGTTTAATAGCAGTCTATGGAAAGTAACAAGCAAAAGGTTTATCAGAGACATACAGAAGCAGATGCAATAGAATTTAGGACACACTTCCATGAGGACAACTCTCAATTTTTCCAGTTAGATTCTTCCAGGATGAGACCATGATGGGGTTTTAGTTTAATCTCTTTCAAAGCATAGTATTTTTCATGTGCCATATATGTTAGGAGAGGATACATAAATATAGTCATTCTGTAAAAAAACTTGATCTGATTCCATAAGTCATATATAATTCATTTATCATAGTGATTATATGTGACATCCATTTCTTTTGCATTTTGAAGGTAACATACTTTAGAGGACTGTTTTCATTGTATTAAAACTCATAAGTCATGGGTCTTACTAGAAACTGGATCATTGAAGGGAGCCTCCAAATTCATTACCCATCCTTCCCTGATTCATGACTTTAGGATAGAGGATGCTGATATGGATATGCTGTAAAACACTGTTTTTTGTTTTTTGAGACAGGGTTTCTCTGTGGCTTTGGAGCCCATCCTGGAACTTATTTTGTAGGCCAGGCTGGTCTGGACCTCACAGAGATCTGTCTGCCTCTGCCTCCCGAGTATTGTGATTAAAGTAATGTGCCATCATTGCCCAACTGCTGTGAAACACTTTTGAAAAATAAAATGCTTGAGGATACTTTTGGTATTTTCAAATCTTGCTTGAGATTTGTTCCTTCTTTTCAGTCTAGAAGACATGAGAAGATCAATGTTTAATTCATTTCTTACCATTACATACCTAATTCCCCAAAGAATAAGGCATGAAATGCTGTGTTATGTGTTATGCTGAACTTAGCTAGGAGGCATTCTCTAGCTCTATTTTCATTGTGCTTTAATTGCTCTACTCAGGATACAAGAAAAATTCCTTGTCTTGCCTCTGAAGAATTACTTTTTATCTGTGAGACTTAGTCAACTGCCTCGTTAGGATTAATATGATTTAATCATCAAGCAATAATTTTCCACAATTTTGATCATTATGATTCCATACTTAGATGCTGCAGAAAATACTGACCAGAGAGATGTTCATCCTAATTTAGACACTGTGTAGTTGACAGAACTTTTGTGATGACATTTTTATAATCAAGACATGTGAGAGGAAATGTCTTCTGACAAACTTCAAATGTAGTGAACATCATTAGTTCACAATGCTGTTTCCAAGACAGAGTGTTTGAGTCATTAAACATTTACACTGGTTTCCTGAGAAGACATTAATCTGAGACACAGAAGGAAGAAGACCTATGTAGAAATCCACTATCTTAAGACCAAAAAAATCCAGAGAAGGTCTACACAACAAAATTTTGCAGGAACTGATACCTCCAGAACTATGAGGTAGTTCATTCCTAAAAAATGTTACACCACCATGAATTAGGGTTATTCTGTCCCCTGACACACCAGAATTTGAGGAGATTTTAGGAAGAAGGAATGCTGCACAGGATTTTGACATAGCTGGACTTAGAACTTCGTGTGTGTACCTGTAAAGACAAGTTTCCCCAATATGAACTGATTTAGTCCAGTAGGCAGCCATATTGAGTTTGCTGATATTCTGGTGGCTTGGCTTCCAGTCTGTCTTGTCAGGAGCCAGGCATGCTGTGAGAAACAATACCAAAATTTATTCTAACAATGATAATAATAATGAAGCTGAGAGTAGCAATGTATATTAGAATTACCCATCTTAACAAATGACAATCTTATAGTCATATCAATTAGTGGTATTTTACTTGCATATGCTGTGTCAATACTCGCCATTTAATTATGAATACTTTATATTTTCTTTTAATACCACTGGGGATTTGACGTTAACTTATATGATACAAAAGAAATCTAATGAGGAAAGCATGACTTCTATTGCCAGTCCTTTTGACTTCAAATCCACATCTATCACTATCATTTTGGGTAACATCTCAAGGACTAATTTTCCTCATCAGCCAAGTGGGAAAAAGGCCATTGCCTAATTCACTCATTCATGAATGCTTTCAGCAATAACATATTGAGAATATACTGTATTTCTGTCATGATTTGATAAGGAAGCCTTTAGTGTTTTAGGAACATTTTACTTTTTAAATATATTAGATACACATTTATGCTTTTATACAAAAAGGAAATGTGTAAAAGTTTCATACCTATGAAATAAAATAAACAGGCATGTGGGTTTCAGAGTTCTAGTTGGAAGGAAGATAGGAAGAAGGGATCACAGTGTCATTAATAAGGGAAGAAAAGTACAAGAAGTGACTATATGGATAATATCAGCATTCTAGGGTGAAGAAACACACAATGCAATGTGAGCAGTTACACAATTTGACATCTCTATTGTCAAAACTAAAGACATACTAGAATGGAGTGATGAGAGCCAACATATTGTAAGAGGCATGGTAAAAATATCATGTAGATCTTCATGCATCACCAAACACCATATTGACTGAAACAGATATATTTACAAGTTCTCAGCTGGCAGTAGATGGGTCTCCTGAATCTGATGGAAGGATCATATGATTAGCATTTATCTCAGAATAGTGTGTATCTCCAGCTTTGGTGGATCTGATACCATCAGAGACACATGTATTCATGTTCACCTATGCATACATAATTAAAATTAATGATAAAAGATGTTTTAAAGGCTTATTTCATTCTTTGCAGAACTTTTATAAGTAAAAACTAAAATGTAAAAAGAACAACTAAAATCTGCTTTGATAGTTGATGTAAGAAACTCTGCTGGGTTGGATAGTATGAAGGAAGCAGGTGTAAGGGGATGCAGGAATAATCTGGACATATAAAAAGGTAGAGCCAGTTTTTATGCTGTTAGATTGTATAATTGATATGCTGGTACAGAAGAAGGTAAGACATTATTTCCTCACAGGTAAAAGTCAGTTTGTATATCATTTCTAGGCATAAGAGAATTTCTCCAGCAAGTAATTGTCAGTTCCACTATTAACTATGTTTCTTGTTAAGCAGATGCTAAGAACGTTTGAAGGAAGGATGGAGATCAGTATTAAGATCATCATTAACCCATCTATGCATCTGCTTCACATTTTCTAGGCACAACTGGAGACTGGAAGAATCACCTTACAGTAGCCCAAGCTGAAGCATTTGATAAAGCATTCCAGGAAAAAATGTCCGGTTTTCCTCCAGGACTTTTCTCATGGGAAACATCCTAAGACTTCATATATAGACAGTCAATTTTATTTTCCTGTACTTGTCCATATGAATGACATGTGAATGTGGTCATAGAATAAATCCTGTTACTGAATTGTGGAGTTGTGTTTTTTAAAAGATATTAATAGTAGCATTAGAAGTAGTGGCAGTAGTACAGCAGTAAAGGTAGTTCTAATGTGTGTGTGTGTGTGTGTGTGTGTGTGTGTGTGTGTTTACATTTCTTCATGGGACAGAAGAGTTCATTGGTTCTCAAAGAGTTGCAGTTACATGTTCTGTAATGCTCCTGCTTTGTGTCCAAGTAACTAAACTCAAATTCTCTACAAGAGTACTACAGTGCTCTAGACCTCTGAATCATCTCTCCAGTCCTGAACTTAGAGTCTTGAGTCATCAGATATTTGTTTCTTTTAATACTGGTTTGGTATGCATCTCTTAATACTGGTTTGGTATACAACATTAGCTGACACTAAAAGGTTTCATGGAATTTCAGCTTAAAAGCAGTCCTTGTAATATTTTAAGAATAAAACACAGTATGAGAAAGTAAGTAATTTTTATTCTGTGACATTTGGGCAAAAATAACCATCAAATGAATTTTATTTAATTTATTGATTGTGAAACCATATTCAAATAACCTACAGTGTCAGACATTGATAACTTAACATGTCTGCTCAGTATTTTATGTTTGTATTTCACTTTTTATTTTTTTGTAAATTTCTGAAGTTGTAAAAACAATGTGCTTCATATTGAAACTTTGATGCATACACACACATCATTGTAATTTACTCAATATTGCTTCTCTACTGCCCAGTCCTGTCCATTTGCTTCTGTTAGTAGTTTCTCCTCCAACAAACTCCTGCTCTGTTTGCATGTTATAGAGATGCACTTATATTTAAGTCAGAATTTTCTGAATGGAGAAAGAATATAATATGGTCTTTTCTTTTATGATTAAGCAGGAATTCATTATGATGGATAATACAGCCAGTACTATCTGGAAGTATTAGACTGAACATGGCCTTCAGAAGATGTCAGACACCATGAGGTGTGGAGCAAGAGAGGAGGACCGACAGAGAGAGCTGACATATATGTGTGTGTGTGTGTGTGAGAGAGAGAGAGAGAGAGAGAGAGAGAGAGAGAGAGAGAGAGAGGGGGGGGGGCCAGGAAGTCCAAGAGGACCAAGACGGTGCATGGTCAGACTGGCAGGGTATTACAGGAACCAGAAGCTGGGGACGGGAACCCTGTGATCTGCAGATATTTAGGGTAGATGCTGGGTGAGAAGAGTCGAAATTAACCATCATATGGATTCCCATTTGGACTCAGTAGCAGGTACTTGCTCATGGAGCTTGGAGAAATGCTTGCACTTTGGTATGGCAATAGGCCCCACAGCTTGCCATTTGCTCTGAGTTTCTTTTGGGCCTGGCATCTCACCCTTTTTGGTGATGAAAATGTCAATGTAATCTATTCTGTAACTCCTTCATAGCTGAAATTAGGATATCCTCAGGACCTAGGAAGTCTGGAATGCTGACCAAAGGATAGGAGGAAGGAATGGAAGGTAGGCTTCCCAGAGTCTGTGTTAGCAAAATGCAGAGCTCTTTGGAGCAGTCTGAAAATTCTGGTTAAAAACAAGACTCTGGTCAGTTAGGTAATTCCATTGGCAGCATTTAGTTTACATTGGTTTTTATTTATCTAGGGCTGTCTGCTTTCAGTTTGGAGAAGTTTACAATCTTTATGTGATTAGAAAACTGATGGGATAGAAAAAGATGAGAGAAAGAATATGTAATGTTAAGGAGTTTATTGGAAAATATATTTCTTGACTATGTCATTTAAACTTCCTGACCTGTACTCCTGGTACTTTGCATGTGGATGCAGTCTTAATGGTAGGGGTAGCAGAGAGGGAAAGTGAGAAAGAACCCACTATACCCAGTAGATAGGTGGGGAAGTTTAAGCAGCTGATTGACGGTACATATCTGCAGTCTGTTTCATCTGTGACAGGTGACTCTAAGTCATGACTCATTGAAACTTACATGATTTCTTTTAAGTTTACAAAGAGATAAACATTTTGGATACATAAGCATTGACACTGTTTATAATTTGTGCTGAAATTCTCACTGTAGAGAAATAATTAACAGTCATATAAATCAGCTATAGTGGACTCTACTAGACACATGCCTTAATGTCATACCCAAAACTATGGTTTTTGGTTAAAAGCAGGAACAATTTTTCCTCAATCCAGAGGTATGGATATATAAAGATTAGAATGAGACCTTTTCAGTACAATAAGAGGCACTATAAATCTATACCTTGAAAAGAAAAAAAGGAATTTAAAATTTTTTGTGTTGCTGGTTTCTTTCCAGGCTGGTCCCACCATCCTTTTCAGCCCCAAGTAAACATAAAGAGACATATATTAATTATAAAACAGTTGGCTGAAGACTAGAGCTTCATATTGCTTAGCACTTTTTGAAGTATTAACCCATTTATATTAATCTAAGTATTTCCACATGGTCTTACCTTACTGGAGAAGAGTCTGGACCTCTAACTCCTTTGGCAGTTACTTGTCATCTCTTTGTGTAGGGTTTTCTCTGCCTACCTTTCCCAGAATTCTCTTCTTCTTGTCTTGCCTATCTCCCTGCCTTTATTTGCCATAGTGTTGTATTAATCAACCAATAAGAGAAACATATACAGAAGAACATCCCCCATAATTTTCGAGCTTGTCACTATGACAATAGTTAGTATTTTATCAGGGCTAGATTAATCGTTTATCAGAATTCCTTTGATTAATGTTTAAACTCTAAACCTTTAGCAGAGAAAGACAGAGGGTATATGAATCATCTCTCATTTTCCACACCATTTACACTCCATAAATCACTTGCTTAGATGCTCCCCACTAAAGCTTTCACATACCCAGACATTTACACACTTGAATTTACTTCCTTAGACGTTGTTTCTGTTTCTGTGAAGAGATACTATAATCATGGCACCTCTTAAAAGGGAAAGCAATTACAATTTCATAACATTAGTCCATTATCATCATGGTGGGAAGCACAGATGAATGCAGACAGATATGGTGCTGCAGAATCAGCCAAGAGTTCTCCATCTTGATCTGTAGGAAAGAGGAAGTAAACTGTCTTCCACACTGGGCATAGCATGAGCATATAAAATCTCAAACCCTCCTCTCATAGTGAAACACCTCCTCTAACAAAGCCACACTTCCTAATACCTCCACTCTCTATAGGGCATATATTCTGAGGAGGTTTTCTAGCCTGAAGGCTTGAAAACTGCTAACAGGGACTGAATCCTGCTGGTGCCTGTGCAAAATTTCAACCCAAGAGGCAAACTAACTAGGCTCCATGAGAATCATTTTATGGGTAATATAGTCTCACAAGTTTGAACTAAGTAAAATCAGAAGCCATTCCTCCAATAAAGTAAGTTCCATATCACAACATAATGAGGGAAACAAACCAGCAAGGGAAAGACATTATTTTTGTTGTAGTTATTTTGTTTTTTTTTAAGTTTAGTTTTTAAATTTCATTTTGCATTCTGACCACATTTATCCCTTCAACTCTTCCTACTGCCCCCTTGCATCTCACCCTCATCCACTCCTCCCAAAGGCTAAGGGTACCCATGGGGTGTTGATAAAGCCTGGCCCATCAAGTTGAGGCAAGACCAACACCCTTTCCCCATGCATAAAGGCTGAGCATAACATCACAAAGTAGGGAATGGGCTCCAACAAGCTAGCTCAAGTACCAAGGATAGATGTTGTTCCTACAGTCTAACTGATGTTATTGTATTTTTAAATTTTTCATTTGCTTATGTCTCATAAACCTTTTTTAGGTTAGCATACAGACTGGAGCATTTCAGATGTTCTCATACATGTGTGCCACTGTTATTTATTTTTTTGTATGTTATTATTAACTTAAAATTTTTAAATTATGTGTGAAGCAGTCAGTGTGGGGTACTGTCCACATGAGTGAAGTGGCCATCGAGGCTAGAAGTGGTAATCATATCCCTTAGAAGATAAAGTTACACGTGATTTATAAACTACATGATGGAGTTGTTGGGAAGATAATTCAGCTATTAGCTCTTCTTTCATAGTTTGGTAGAGTTGGCAGAGCTTGGCTTTTCTTTGTTGGGAAACTTATTTCTATATCTTGCTGTTTGTGGAGAGCAATTAAGGCATAAGATACCCTAAAATAGAGTTGCCCGTTGGAGTGTTTTCAATAAAATAATGTTCCTCAGGCTCATAGGAAGGTGCAAAATTAGAAAGTGTGGCCTTGTTGGAGTAGGTGCGGCTTTGTAGAAGGAAGTGTGTCACCGGGGATGGGCTCACAATTTCAAGTCCTCAAGCCAGGTCCACTGTCACTCTCATCTCTTGATGCCTGCATATCAGGATGTAGAACTTTTAGCTACCTCTTCAGGATCATAACTACCTGTGTGCCATCATGCTTCTTAGAACAAAACCAATGGGATACATCTTGGAAACTGCAAGCAAGCTTCAATTAAATGTCTTCATTTATAAGAGTTCCTGTATTCATGGTGCCCATTTCATAACAATCAAAACCACACCTAAGTGACCTGTTGTGGGCACTGGAAACTTGGTCCAGATCCTCTGCCAGAATGGCAAATCTCATGTCTGTTTGTCTTGCAGTGATTATGTTGGGAGTGTGACGGTTTTTGAAAGGGTAATACAAGTATCTAAAATAAATCAATACAGCCTGACTTAAGGATGCCTCACCTACTAGATATAATTGGAATTTCCTGAGTAGTGGTACCTAAGCCAGGTCCCTTACTGTGTCCCCAAATAAATAATATGTATGCATGAAAATATCTCTCAGGTGGTGGTGGCTCACTCCTTTATTTCTAGCACTTAGGAGGCTGAGGTAGGCAGATCTTCTAGTCCAATGCCAATCTGCTCAACAGAGGGAGTTCTAGGACTACCAGTGTTACAGAGAGAAATCATGTCTCAAAAAGCTGAGAGGGAGGGAGGTGGGGGGAGAGAGAGAGAGAGAGAATAAATCCTTACAAAGCCAATTATTTGCTAGTGAATTTATAAAATGTTAGGCTTGCACAGAGACCAGAGCTTCCAGTAGTAGAACAGGAAGA